TCACCCAATAATTTTCCTACAGTACCATGTAATATAAAGTTAACACATTTTCTAGAATAAACAGCATCAACATGTGAACTTGCTGCTTTTGGATTTGTTACAAGATCAAGTACATGTGCAATTAATGTACCAACATTACGTTCAAGCCATGATCCTCCTAACATTTGAACAAATACAACATATGCCTAGTAAAATAACAAAATGAATTAAATTATTTTATAAAAAACATAATGTTATTTTTTATATTTTTTCTTACATGTGTGACTCCAACTCGAACTTCTCTATTTACACTAGAGTTTCCTTTTATTATCTCTCCAGTTCCTTTTAAAAAGCCTACTCCACCTCTTAAAAATCCAGACATTAAAATATTCAGCACTTCATCAAGTGAGATTTGTTTACTATTCTTATTTTGGGTAACTAAACATTGATAACAATTAATATAATTCTTGACAATGTATAAACAATTAAATATCCTTATTCAAAATACCTGAAGGATTCTTTCCTTTTGGAGTTGGTAATTGTGTCATTGCTACTAATGTGCCAAGTAATTTTGCAATAGCACATCTTACTTCATAATTTGAACCTTCAAATGCTCGAAAACAAAGTGTAGCAACACTTTCTATTTCAGTTGTATATAAAAATGATGCATGATTCAACATTTCTAATAAACACTGCAAATATTATATCAAATATATTTTAAACAATATTTACAATATTCACAAATAATAGAAAATAAATAATATTAAATTACCTTTGCAGCAGCACATCTTACAGCCATTACTCTATCTGTAAGATAATGTTTAGAAACTTTATATATTTCTTTATGTACATTTGTAATTGCAGATCCCATGCCAGCACAAACCTAATAATTCAAGTTTTTTTTTAATGTAATATAAAATTCCAAATAATTTTGACATCTATATAACATTATATATTACCTTCTCTAAAGTATACATAATTTCTATTCGTGTTTGTGATTCTGCAGAACGTAAAGATTTTATTAAAATCTGTACAGTTTCTTCATATGATCTACCCATCATTCTTCCTAATTTTTCATACATACATCCCACACAACATATAGCAGCTCTAATAATGATAAATTTAAAAAGTTATATAATATCTAAAGATTTTAAAATAATAAATGCATTTTAAAATTAAAATTTACTTACAACTTTGTTGGAAGAAAACTTGGTGAATCATCTTTATTTCTGAGAATATCATTACATTTATTAACAGTATCAAAAAGCAAAAATGTATCACCAACACTAAATAAAGTTGCAAGACATCTTGCAATAAGTCTTCGTGTAGGAGGTCCAGGAGATCCTTGCATATGTTTAGTTAATTGTTCCACTAATTTTTGTTGACATCCTTTAATATCACTCTAAAAATAATATATCATTACAGAAAAAAAATTTTATAATGAAAATATATTACGTATTTATTTTAGATTATAACATAGAACAAATATATTATAACAATTATTCAAATAATTGTACCTTCTGTGCAGCTATTAAAACTTTATCCAAGAAACGTAACCATTCAAATATAAAAATTGGTCTTTTGGCCTCTGGGATTTGATTAAGGGCATCCTCATTGAGAGTCAAACTATGACTCAACTCCATCATCATTTCAATAGAATAAATTTTAATATTTCTTACTTTTTTCTATAAATATTTAATTATATATTATTAATAATTTATTAATAATTTAATGCTATTCGTAATTATAAAATTATATATATATATATATTAAAAAATCATAAGAAATTAATTTTATAAAATATTTTTTTATTATGTATTTAATAAAGAAAGAATTATTTATTAAATTATAAAAAAAATAATAAAATTTAATGAAAACATAAATATATACCAGAAAGTCTATATTTTATTAATAAACAAAAAGTATCATAATTTTTTATTTATTTTATATATGTTCTAATCACTTGAATTAGTAACGTCTTGAATTAATATTGGTATTTATTTATATTTTAGATTAAAAAATAAGATAAAACAGGAAATCATTTTATAAGTGACATGTATTTTGATATTTAATATGTATTAATACTATAAACTACCACAATACGGAACAATTTATCCACGTAATTGACAAATCTTAACTTGATTTAGGTTAAGGTAGATCGGTAATCATCTGGTTCAGAAACATTGACAATGAATTATTAAGATTACCTACTCATTTTAATGACACTGTATTTATACAATTATTTATATTCGAATTGGGATTGTATAATTTAATTACTTAAATAAATTAATTTAATGTGAATTAATACTAATTAAAATTTTTTTGTTTTTTTTGCTACAATAAAAAATATTGAATTATTTCATAATACTGATATCTTAAAATGTCTATTATATAAATCTAAACTCCTAAATAATAATAATAATATATATAATTTTTAAATTATAAAATTATAAATTATATATAAATGTCTTGTAAAAAAATTTTATTTTTTGAAATAAAAAAATTTCGTATGCCACATCATCTTGGCTTATATTTTCTTAATACAAAATCGAAATTTCTGAAAATAAGAAATTAAAAAACAGAAATTTATATAAAATATACACATATATAAGATATAAAAATATAAAAATATATATAAAACTTAATTTTCCATAAAACCATAAAATAAGTTTTGTTGATAAATTAAACAGTGATCAGAAAAATTTCTAAGATCAACGCCATCTCGTATTTGAATACTCAAAGTTCTGACTTGTTATTAGCATAGTAGAATGTATAAAGAGGTATTACTCTATAATAAATAATAAGCAATTAGTTTAATTATTTAAACAACAACAATATTATAAATAAAATTTATACATGAAAATAGTGAAGATAGTTTCAAATGTATCAAATAATCATATTTAGAAATAAATTATTATGATAATATTTAAATTCTCATGAAAAATTTATTGCTCGTCAATGAAGTCAATCTGATATAACATTGCAATCATTAACAAAATAATTAATTAAAATAATTTCATGTTAAAATTGATACAAGAAACTTCTTTGAAGTTCTATCTTCAAGATACAAGCTTAAAAGTTTATAAATTTTTAACAGGAAAGGAGTAATTAATTAATTTTCAATATGGCGATCTATTCTCGATCTATTACGTAATACGATGTGTTATTGTTAATAAATAATTAATGGAAAAGAATATCGCACCAAAATTGATACAAGAAATTTATCTGAAGTTTTATCTTCAAAATACAAGCCTAAAAGTTTACAAATTTTGATTAGAAAACGAATAATTAATGAATTTTCAATATGGCGATTTATTCTCAATCTGTTACGTAATTCGATGTGTTATTGTTAATAAATAATTAATGGAGAAGAATATCGCATTAAAATTGATATAAGAAATTTCTTTGAAGTTCCAGCTTCAAAATACAAGCTTAAAAGTTTATAAATTTTGATTAAAAAACGAGTAATTAATGAATTTTCAATATGACATCCTCGATGTATTATATAACACGATGCGTTATCGTTAATACATAATTAATGAAGAAGAATATTGCATTAAAATTGATATGAGAAACTTGTTTAAAGTTCTAGCTTCAAAATGTGAGCTTAAAAATGCCGAAATTTTGAATAAAAATTAAATTATTAGAGAATTTTCCATATAGTATCTTTGAAGTAGTGGGAGATATTCTTTGTTCTTCTCGCACAATATTGCTTTCCTTGTCTATGACTTCGAATACCTCTTTGCATATTCTGCTATGCTAATAACAAGTCAGAGCTTCAGATTTCTAAACACGAGATGGCGCTGATTGAATTTTTTATCGTTATCTAACTTATCGATGAAATATATTTTTCTAAAAGTTTATAGAATCAAAAGTAAAATCAATTTTATGATTAATATTAATTATTATTATTATTATCATAAAAATAGGCATAAATAAATTTCAATAGATAGATTTCAGTAATTTTTGAAAATTGACTTTTATATAATTTTTTTGAAAGCAAAAAAATTTTCTAAAATCTTTTATTATTATAATCATAAGTGAAAATATATACTACTATCATTAATTATATATGTATCATATATAGTATATATAAGTTAAGGAATTGTAGTTAGAAATAGAAAAAATTAAAATTATGCATAACATATTATCATATAATAGATATTGTAAATCTTAATCAATATATTTATGTATCAATATATGATTTATATATACAAATATCTCCATATCAATAAATTTTTTACAAAAATCATAATTCCGAAACTTTCACTAACACTATCGTAAATATTTACATGAATATATTATTTAAATTTGTACAATCTTTTTAATAAATAAAAAATTTTGTATGCAATTTTATTTAAATATTTTAATACTTTACTATATTATAACTCTAAAATATCCTTAATATTATATTATAATATTAAATTATTTAATTAATATTTATAAAAAATATTTTTCTTAGAAATGTTTTTAAATGTTTCTTTATTTAAAATATATTTCTTAGAAATATGAAATATGGAAATGTCTACATTCCATATTCGAAATATTATTCACTATTATAAATAACATTGCTATGCATTTTAAACAAATTTTTTTAGAAATCTATAAATCATTTCTTATAAAATTGAAATATTAAGGATTTTTGATTATATATTATATATTACATATTTATATATTTCTAATCGAAAAAAATATACAAAGTACCAAATATTTAAAATACCAAAAATTTTAAAATATTTAAAATATACTATATATAATATATATATTAATTTTCTAATTTTTAAAAATGAATATTTCAATAAAAACAATTTAATTCATGTCATTTACAAATAAGTATTTTTTACTTAATCACTTAAGGAAAAAAAAGATATTTTTTATATTCTTATAAAACGAATCAAATATTATTAATAATAGTATTTTGATATCTACTGTACATGAAAGAAATCATGGACGTCTTTGGAGTCGAATGGGGGTTAGTGATCAGGAGACAGTATAAAACAGAGTGAACCACAAGATTCGTGTTCACTAATAACAACATAGAGAGAACATATATAGTGACAAGTAATACAAAGTGTCTTCACGGAGTAAAAATTGTGAATTTTTAAAACGTGAATTAAACATATATTATCTATTTATCGAAATTTTAATTATATCAAAGTGTAAAAAGTATCACATAGTATTGTGATATACATTTAATTATAAATTTTTGAAATAATTTTACTCGTTGGAATTTTTTTACTCTTGTAAATATCTCAAGAATTTTTTCAGGTAAGATTTTTTTTTTTAATAATGTAGTTTTAAACTTATTTTTTCTTTGTGTTCGCAAAATAATATAAATCTTATAATAGTGACATTAATATATAATTAAATATATTTCATGTTATTTTAAATACATTATCGTGATATCTAAATGCTTAAATAAATATTCGAAATAATAAAAATAATAAACAGATAATATTAATATTAAATACTAATTATTATATAATACTATTATATATATTAAATTAAATACTAATTAAGTATATCTAATAATAATTCTTTTTTTTTTTTTAATTTTATAGAGATCCAACATATATTTTGTAAATAAGGATTAAAATTGCATTTAAATTTGATATAATTATTTTGTTAAATATTATTTTAATAGAATTTATTAAAATTAAAATCTATTATTAACATTATTAAATAATTAAAAATCATAATAATTTAAAATAGCATCATTCCAATCATCTTCTATTAATTAAATTTATTATGATTTCTCAGTTCACTATATATATTTTATCGGCTAATTAATAACTAATTTTATTAAGAGATGGATATACGAGTCACGTACGATTTTGCATACTATGCTTTACTACTATGCTCTTTGTTTCTTTTTGTGTGCATCGATTATTGATGCAAGACTTATTTCGAAAGATAAACTTGTTTTATTCAGATTATTTAATTTATTACTTTCAAAACTTGTTATTTCTTTTTTATTTGAAATTTTATTATTAAAAAAAGGAATAAAACTAGTGTATTCTAATTATTTATTATTGTAAAAATTTTAAGAAATGTACAAATCTATACAATTATATTTATAACACTTAAGATTACAACAAATTTTTCATTAATAATGTATTACATATTATAATTATTAATATCTATCTAATATCTAATATCTATCTAATCTATATAATTAAATAAAAGAAAAACAAATATATTTAGTTATTCAGCTTAGTTATTTATTGAGTTACTTTATTTATATAGATTCAAAATAATCTTTTAAATTTCATTCTATCTAAAGAAGATTAAAATAATATTTTCAAATATATAAATATATATATATATATTATATATAGATTAGGTTAATTAGAAATTTTTTTCCGAGAAAGTTAAATAAAAATGTTGTATAAGATTCTTAAAATTTCATATTATCATAATGTATAATCTCAATGAAAATTATATAATTGAATTATAAAAATATAAAATACTATACTACTATAAAAATCGTATAAAAAATTTTAAATTGTATCGTTCTAAGTTGATTTCTAACATAACTGTCGCTTAACCAAGCGTTAAAGTCACTAAATGAATTGGATCAAGAATTTTAAAAGCAAAATATAAATCCAATTAATTTAATTATATAAATAATTAATAAGTTAGCAAGCATTGAATAATAATATTATTAAATAAATATTTAAAATAGTATATTTTAATACATAATTGACTATATATATATATATATATATATATATATATATATTTA